TTTTGTGTTAAAGTCCAAGAGGACTTAAGTGGTAAAGCTGGCACTGATCATGGGTTCCTGGATAAACAAAGCAATATTTCAACATGGAAAAAACACTGAAATGGACCCTAAAATGCATCCATTTTAGGTGCTTTGACTGTGTGTATATAATTTGAGAAGTGAACTGTATTACAAAACAAAGAGGATATGAATTTCCACAGATTCACTGAATCACAACTGCACATATAAGCAATACACTCAGCATGCATCTGTATACTGAGTAAGCAAGTATGCATTCCCAGAACGTGCAGTACTCATCACGTACCTATCCCTTGGGTCAATCCAACTGGTGGTATGGTTAATATGGTCTATATAATAGACCTTCCCATCAAAATCTCGGGCCTCTTCCCAACCCTCTGGCAATGGTAACTCCTTCCTTGGCATGACCAACTAGTCTCCATGTAATTTTCTCTGTAAGTCTTCTAAATTGATTTGAAAGCAAACCGTGTGTTGCTTTTCATGGACTAGTCCAAATTTAAACCTAACGCATAAGGAAAGTGCCATTAATTAGCCACAGAGATGTATTCCATATAATCCATGATACGGTTTCCAATATTCCAGTTCAGTTCCTGCAGCCTATATATTAGGCATTGTTTTCAAGAGCGAACGTTGTTAAATGAATGAATGAATGAGGGTGTGATGCTCTGAATCGGGTAACTTTGCCGCAAGAGTTGCGCTTATGGTGAGAAACTCTTCGTTTCTTGTGCATTCTCGGTCAAGTACGCAATACATCAATCAGTCATCTTTTCTGGCGGAGCCTGATGGATGGTTAACTCGCGAAACTTTCAAAGGTCGTGCGCGAGAGTTTTCCTCCAAGAAAAGAAAACCAAAAAGTAATTTCAAAGTCCACAAAATTCCCTCCGAGCAGTAAAGACAGCAAACGAATTAATTCTCCAGCATTATCCACAAGTATTTCAGCGCGTCTAGAAGGTTTTTTCGCTCAGTGACTGCCCACCATGTTTTAGCGACAACTGTGCTAGCTTGTTAGCCCAAAAGCTCGTTATATAGGCAACGCAAACAGTTACTCCACACACACGTATTCCGTATCTTCTCGTTTTGTCGATGCATTCATATCACTTCCACAGCATTTCGGCAATTTCTTTTAAAAGTAGCGAGTTTCTTCCTCATTTGTTTCCAAATGTTGTCTTCTCCTTTAAGTGGCTGTGTGCGGTTCTCCCCCGTAGTCAAGCTCGGTCGCTATGCTGCGGTTGGAATGGATTACGTCATACAGGTGATGGCCGTAGCCCCTCTAGTAGCAGTGCACACTCAGACTATTCATTAGAAGCCAAGACAGGTTTTATCATTTTGTATGTTATAAATGATGGAAAGTTTTCTTCCTATTTATTACGTATGGGCGGTATTGGGGACATTTATCACATGTCCTGGAATAAAGATCAACTTTTAAGTGGATTTTTAATATTCAGTGTGTGATGATGTGATATTTTATTTAATGACATTTACCACTTTTTGGAGGTGTTGAATAAGCCCTGGAATAGTTAACATAAGAAGTAAACTTG